TCACCTGCCCACCTACTCACCTACCCACCGCTACTGCGCTCGATTCCACTGTCAGTCATCTCGCTACTTCGATGCGTATCATGAAAGACGAGCATTACCACGCGCCCAAAGGTCTTGCCGCACCCTCGGCGAAAGCAATTCCGCCTGGGTTCAAGCGCGATGAGAGGGAGACGTTGACTGGGGTACTTATCTCAGTCTATAATAACAGCACGCGCTAACATGCACAGGGCTTCCATTCCGAAGAGGATGAAGTACGCGCAACGATTGCCCTGCGCGGCCAGGGCGGACCTCGGAAAGGGCGACCTACGAACCTGCAGGTGCCCTACAAGGGTCGCCTGAGTGGAAGCGTTCGCGCCGTTGCTCAGAGGGATAAGGCGCGATTACGAAACGAAGAGCAGCAAGCTTTACACGCTGCAGGTAATGCCGACCGCGCTGCCAAACATCAGGTGGAGAAGAAGCTCAGGCGGGAAAAGTCGTACCAAGCTATGTCACGAGCAGCACAGCGTGCTGCCCTGAAGACAGCCCAAGAAGCGGTTGAGCAGAAGCGCCTTAGCAACCGCCAGAGCGGTACGTTGTTGAAGCCGTCCATAACTGTTTTGTACTTACCGATTGTAGTGAAATGGCTCCAGCCAGCCCTCGCCGCAGTCCATGAGAAATGGGCCGACGCACCTCTTCCAGCCGATCCCCGACCTCTTTCAAAAGTCCTCGAGGGTGCGTCAGTGTCCAAAGACCACCCTGGTGCTGCGCCTCTGAACCGGGCCGCTCTCCGCATCTATGGCGGCGGTGGTGCTCTCGAGCTCATCATGCGCAACACGTATTGTGACGGGTTTGCAAAGCTTCAAGCGAATTCGTTTAAGAGCCCGGAGGCAAAGAAAGAGTGGACGGACTTTGTAGCCAGGCTACAGCCATCTGAGTTGGTAATGGTGAAAGACGAGCATTGGCGGTATGTTCAACACATTCCCCGATCACATACCCATACTAATAAGCCTAGACGACGTGAGCCCGAGTCCGTTCTCACCGCCATGGGCCT